TATGTATGGCAAATTTTGCCATGTATAATACATGAATAATACATGGAATAATACACATGTATTATACATATGTATTATTGCCCCCATCCTTAGCGATGACAAATAAAAGAGAAAATATGGACATTATTTTCAAGGATTTATCCGTTGATTGTGTCCTTAATCAAGATTGAGTTTAATTTTATTATTTATTACTTATTTGTTATTATAAACAGTTATATATGAATAATATTCTAGTTTTTATATCGTATTTTATATTTGGTTAATAAATATAACATTGCAATCATTGCACAAATCATGACATTAAGTCGTTTATCATAAGTTTCTTGAAATTACATTTATTTTGAACAATAATTAATATATTTAATGAATTATTATATTATGTTGTTTTTAAAGTTTTGTTTTGAAATTTGGGTGCAATAGTTGAATAACGATATAAAAATAAGGTAACATTGTTTTTCTGCTCACAATTCAGTTGAATAAGACATGCATTGGTTAAACAGAAAAGATCTCAAATTCTGATTCAAGCGATTATTTGTTAAAAACTCTATAAAAATGCATAAATCCTTTGATCAAAACAAACCAAAGCTCTATAAGAGTCTGAAAATGTTTGAGACATTTCTGGCAAATAATTGTTTCATTTTATCCAATAGTTTCGATGAAATGATTGAGAGAAAGAGATCAAAACGAAAGGTCCTTTTGTGGACAATAAAGCGAATCAATGGTATTGTGTTTGCCATCAGATTCTTAATCACAACTCTATTTAATAACAAAACAATTTTGTCTTTATTTTGCGATTCAATGTATTTATTGGGTAATCAAAGGCTAATATCATTGATGTTGTGTTGGGTTGGGATCTACCAGACTATTATCAACGCCAGTGTCTTGTTTTGGTTTGATATTAAAACAGACAAATATGAAAATTTCATCAAATTTATTAATGACATTAAGAAAAGTCAAAACTATTATAAACTAAACGCTGTGTACAAAGAGAAATATAATTATTACACAAAATTATTCGTAAGATTATTAATCCAAACGTTTTACCAAACGATTGCATTCGTGTCGTTGTTATACATAATGACATCAGTATTTGCTTATTTTGATCCGCGAATGGATTTCCCGTTAATCGGTGTTATTCTGTGGAATATAAGCACCACTTTATGGCTGTGGGACTGCATTGGCATCAGTTTCTCATACTTTGGTTTCTTGTTATACACAACACTTTACCTCAAATACCAATTCCAACAAATCAATGATTCAATCCATAGGAATCTCTTTAATGGTAATAACAGACAGTTTATGATTGATATGATTCGACACAACAGAATCGCTAACACTGTTCACCAATTAAATGAATTTATTAATATATTTATCGCAATCTTTTACTTCGGGACTCAAATTCCTGTCGGAATCTGTCTTTATTTGTCTCACTCTCCGGACAATACAATTTATGGTCGCATTTATTACATCTACTTCTTCGTGATGGGTGTGTATATGTTGATCACATTCAACCGGATCTGCACTACTCTGTGCACAACAGCCCACAGCTGTCAACCCCTTCTCTATACATATTCGCTAACAATTAAGATGTCAACCAAATTGAGGCTCAAAATTATGACTTTTGTCGAAACACTTTCCGGTCCTGAGATTGGCTTCTATTGTCTCGATTTGTTTCCAATGACTTCGCAAAATAATTTCCAATATTTTCTCTCATTCTTCATGAGTTATATTCTCGTTATTTCTCTATTAAATAAAAATTTTAACTAAATCTTAAATTAAAACATAAATATTCCTATAATGTAATTCCTTTATTATATTACAGTTATTTAAAAATGTCATGTGTTTATTGCTTTACTGTATAAAATATAATAGAATTTCCATTATAAAAATTATTAATTTAGTAAATAATATTAATATTCAATGAAAATTAAAAGTACAAAAATTTTATCGGTTTATCTAAAAATTATTTAAGCTTCATAAGTATTTACAAATGCGATCCATTCTTATGTACTAAATCTTAAGGGCATTACATAATCAATAAAATAACACAAAAACTTAAACATTTGTTCAATTAATTACCCGCAGAATAGAAACCTTCGATTCGATTGTAAATCAATCAAAAACTAGTCTATGGTTTAGATTCAGTGTTTGTGGCTTTGGGTGTCGTTTACATCATTTGACGTTTTGTACAGTTATAGCACTTCTTCTAAACCCAAGTTTGATGTTAAAAGACATTTGCGATAATCAGCAAAATGTTTTCAAAGTATTTCCAACCCCTAAGCGAAACATGTCTGGACTCTAATGGCCAAAACACGGAGACTTGGGATAGCTTTTGAAAGCCATACACAAAATGATTATCAAGTGATTGATTATTAGTTTAGACACGGACTCAATGTCTCGCATATATCTGTTGCGATTCCACTCCATATCTCCAATGGTTGGCAAATAATAAACTAATCAATCGTTTGCCTCTATTTTATTGGATTTATGTTTGTATTATTTGATTCGTTAGAAATATGCGTCTGAGATATGGGAGCAGTTCTCGCGAGTTATTGCTTATGAGAACCACTTTTATGACAATTGATTTAATGAATACAAATTTTGTGCATAAAAGTGACAGAAATTGTTGTATTTTTAGCGACAGATGAACCGAATGTGTGGACACATGACATCATATTATACATTAAATGTGGATATGTTTCCAATGGAGTCGTAAAGATTTTAAAAGAAAATGGAAAGAAGAAAAGGAGAGAGAGAGAGAGAGAGAGAGAGAGAGAGAGAGAGAGAGAGAGAGAGAGAGAGAGAGAGAGAG